TCTCCTGTCTTTATTCTTTGGGTGAAGTCCTCATAGATCATGTTCCATTCATTCGTTTGAACTTCACATGAAAAGACTCTTGTGCTGTCCTCTGTGATTGTGTTGCTGATATGTAAATTATTTTTCAGGGAACAGCATTTACTCAGTCATTATCCAGCAAATCCAAGAAGAAGAAGTAAACGAAAAACTTGCCTTGTCTAGCTGCATCTGGCACACTTATAGAAGTAGAGAGGCTGCTGTAAGTGTAACTTATTCAATCTTAATGGACTACAATAGTAGTCCGAGAATTTAGGCCAGAGAGCAGCTGTTCTTCGTTGTTGTAGTTTTTGAAAGAAATTTTACATTTTTATTTCATGAGAATGCTGAAAACCGAGCCTTTTTTAATCCAAACTCTGAATTAAGGTAGAAGATTACATTTTTCCTGGACCGTAGAATTTTCCCAAACCACATGATTGTTATTGCAGATGCTTTTGGCATTCCGTCTGGTCTCAAATCTCACCTAACATGGGGCCTCTAATTATTTTGCCGATTATCTTGCTTCAAATTTTCCACGCATCTTTTAATTTCCATTACTTGCAGGATGGGAAGGCATAATAGCATTTAACGCCTCCTTGCATGGGTATGTTAGGCGGCCGTTTTTACAGATTCAGGTCTATTTTTGAGTTGTTCCTTCTGGAGTGTGAATTCGAATTCAAAATTGCAGGAAAACAGAAAGGTTAAACCCTCAATTTAGTTCAACTATTGCACAGACCTGATTTGGTCCCTAAATTTAAAAAACTCTCAATTTGGTCTCTCAACTATTATTATATAGACCCTTGATTTAGTTCCTATTATTTATCAATTTGGTCTCAAGATGGTTCTTCCGTTAAAAAATAGTTGATACATTCATTACTTAACAATAAAAAACTATTACTTAACTGTCATGTATAACATTAATAATGACACAAGTTATCTGCTTTTGTATGGAATGATCAACTTAGGGTTAAATTGATAAACAATAAGAATTAAATCATGGATTTTTTTAGTTTAAAAACCAAATCAATGATTCATATAATAATTGAGGGACCAAATTAGAGATTTAACCGGACAGGAAATATGAACATTTTGAAGCAACTGTAATTCTCAGTTCATCCCTTTTGTTGGGTAGTTCTGGTATACGGCCCTTGGGTTGAAATTAATGAAAAACATCAATCCATGCGTAATGTATGTGCAACATACATCTGCACGGTTCTTCTAAGGGTATAAATTGGCTTATTAACAGTGTTCATGTCCAATGCTGGAGGTTGGTGAAGATTCAAAGATCAAAGGTAGAGAGCTAAGTATGCTTTATTTGAAAAACTGTTGTGCAATTTTTTTTTTTTTATATATCTGATTATGAGTTATATAAAAAATGGATAACTTTCCCCTATTCCTTAAGGTTTGAATTTGAGATTTTCAACTTGAAGTCTCAAACTCTTAACCATTAAATCATCTCATTAAGGTTTTATTATACAATTTATCACAATGGACAATAATAACCATCATATGAAGAACTAAACTTTTTGAATGCAGGGATTGTTCTCATATACTAGTTTCAATATTATAGTATGAGGCAGTCTAAAGTAACAACTTTCTTCATTCTTTCTTATGATGGAAACAATTTTTTTTTTAATTTGATATGGCGTTTGTGGCTTTATAGATTTGTTCTCCTTCGGTTTTTTAATTTTCGCGGCCTTTCTTTTTTTCTCTAGTTTAGGTATGATAATTCATCGATCATTAGTGCTGAAAAATATGCAAAACTAATCCTGTACGAATTACTACAAATTTGGTATATACCCGTTTCTCATCTTGTTAATTAGAATTGGTTATCCATGTAGCTAGTAATGAATGACAACTTGCACTGTCTACTTCGGGCAGCTACAGTTTAATTTTTATTGCTAATTAATGCTTGAGAAATAATTAGTAGCACAATACAACTATAAGGGTAAATTTTCTATTTTGTTATTTATCATGTGTCATGTGATTGTAACTTGAATCCAAAACTTCAATTGAGTTGATATAAAAGGTAAATGTTTTGTATGTTTAAGATCATGTGACGTCTAATACGTATAAATTGCTTCTTAAGAATGACCTCTCAGCTCCAATACCATTTTGAGGCTAATTCCATGGCCATCACAAGATTCTGAACGTACAAACTGCACAAACCATGGACTTTGCCAACGCAGCTAGTCATTGGTCAACTATGCAAAACCCTCTTAGTTTGAGGTTTTTCTTATTACCAACAATCTTCAATCATGCGAGACCATGCTATATCAAATAATGTTAAGTCTACCATCACTATATTGAACCATCTTTCTTTAATCCCTATTTTTTAGAATTTTTTATTAATTTTGATGACATTAACAAGTTGATACAAATAAATATATAACTTTATGTGTTCTCAAATAAAAATAATAATTAAAACAATCTTAATATAATATGTAAAAACTGATTCATGATATCATCTGTTACTGTGTTATTAAAAAAAAAAAAAAAAGCTATCTAAGTAGGCCTTCATTAGTCCGTGAAGACGAGGAAATCACAGCAACATTTAGCTGTTTCTTCCAAAACAGTTGAGGCCTCAATGAACGTTGCTGTCTCTCGTGACCCCATAAGAATTTAGTTGTCATTTTTTCAACCCATCTTTGACACTCCCTAACCTTATTTGAGGCCTTAATGGCAGTGTCAACTTCCTCTCATTTAATTTCCCTCTAAAATCATTATTTATACGAGCCCTCTCGTTCAGCCTTACCATCCCAAAATCTCAGAAGAAACTTGTCTTCTGTGACCTTCCCAATGAGGATCCGAACAGGGTTCTTTTGTATCTTGTTATCCTTGCTATTTGCAGCAAATGTCTGCCATGCAGGTGAAGACCAGACGAAGGTCGAGGTTTTTGGCGCAGGTGAATGTGCGGGGTGTAAAGAGAATAACGTCCCAACTAGCCAGGCCTTTAAAGGTATGCTTTCTGCACATTCCGCCCTCAAACAGGACTATTGTCCATTTTTCTCTAATCATTGTCTCAAGATTCAAAATTTTGAAAATTTTAGTATCAAAGTATTAAGCTCGAAGCTAGTGTCATAACTCGATTCTGATCTAGATTTTTTTGTTTTTGTTTTTCTAATTCTGGTTGCATCCTAGGTTGAGGGAATATGTTGATTTTGACCTTGTAGTCAAAAGGAAACTCTTGGACATTATTACCGTTCAAAAATGGAAAAACAAGAAACATAGTAATTAATAATGTTCTGTTTCTCTCTGCATTTCGTTTACAGGGCTTAAAGTAACCATAGATTGCAAGCCAGAAAATGGAGAGTTCAAGACGGGCGGTTCTGGCGAGCTCGATGGAGAAGGGAACTTCAAGGTTTCTCTTCCGGCAGACAGGCTTAAAGACGGGAAATTGAAGGAGGAATGCTACGCACGACTCCACAGTGCGGCGGCTGATCCCTGCCCCGCTCATGATGACGACCTGGAATCCTCCAAGGTTGTCTTGAAATCGGAGAGTGATGGAAAGCAGAGTTTTGGGTTGAAAGGGAAGCTGAAGTTCTCGCCGGTCACTTGTGCGTCGGCTTTCCTTTTGCCGAAATTCAAGCCTCCAAAATTGCCCGTGTTCCCACCGATTTACAAGAAGCCCCTCCCACCATTTTACAAGAAGCCCCTCCCGCCATTTTACAAGAAGCCACTTCCACCACCAATTCCAATTTACAAGAAGCCACTTCCATCAATTCCAATTTACAAGAAGCCACTTTACAAGAAGCCACTTCCATCAATTCCAATTTACAAGAAGCCACTTCCATCAATTCCAATTTACAAGAAGCCATTTTACAAGAAGCCACTTCCATCAATTCCAATTTACAAGAAGCCACTTCCATCAATTCCAATTTACAAGAAGCCACTTCCACCAATCCCAATTTACGAAAAACCACTTCCACCACCTATTCCAATTTTCAAGAAGCCACTTCCGCCACTCATTCCAATTTACAAGCCAAAGCCTCCGTTCTTTAAGCCGCTTCCTCCCCTACTTCCTAACGGCCTTCCATTTCCCGAGAAGAAACTTCCACCACCGATCCCAATTTACAAGAAGCCACTTCCACCATTCCCAATTTACAAGAAACCACTTCCACCAATCCCAATTTACAAGAAGCCGCTTCCACCAATCCCAATTTACAAGAAACCACTTCCACCAATCCCAATATACGAAAAACCACTTCCACCACCTATTCCAATTTACAAGAAGCCACTTCCGCCACTCATTCCAATTTACAAGCCAAAGCCTCCGTTCTTTAAGCCGATTCCTCCCCTACTTCCTAACGGCCTTCCATTTCCCGAGAAGAAGCCATTCCCTCTTCTTCCTAAGTTTCCTCCTAAACCCAAGTACTTTCCCCACCCCAAGTTCGGAAAATTCCCTCCTCTCTCATCCAGTGATCCTCAACCTTGACTGTTGCAGTTTAAGGTTCAGTTACGGTGAATGAAAATGTCCTTTGATGCATCAATGTGAAGGTGAAGCTTTTCATTTGCCTCTAGCAATAAAGCTCGTGAAGAAGAAGAAGTTTGCTTATTTTAGCTTGTAATTTATATTAAGGGAATTAAGAAGTTGTTTATGGATGTCAGTATTGTTAATAAATTTATTTGGAAGGTGCATCAATGAATTATGTTGAATAATAGAGAATAGACTTTAAAGCTTACATTAAAATGCAAATGTTTTTTTTTTTTTTTACAAATGGAAAGATGGGGATGAGAATTTTTTTTTTAAATCATAATTTGTATATTAAAAGAGTTGCATGCGTTTCAAAAATAAAATGGTATGTGTTAAAATATGAGTATCAATCGGTGTCATTATGCTCTGAGAGGTCCAAGAATTAGCTGTCACTTTAAAGCTATAGCACAACCTAACTCTTTGTCTGGTCCATAATTGAAGTCATTGCTCCATGTAGGACCATCTTAAGTGGATGGTTTTTCAATCTTCAAATGTGACACTAGCAGCATCAGTTGAACTAGCAATATACAATAAAAATATTGATTTATGCTAAGGTTCAAATCTTAATAGAGACAATTATAATATTTCCTCATTCT